AAACTGAAAAAAAACCGGCTAGGATCACGGCTTTAGGATCACCTTAACTGTATATTAAAATATTAATAAATTAACGAACTAAGTATATGTGTAATTGCATTACCTGCGAACTGAGCGTGGTTAACATTACATGCGTTTTTTCCGATACGTGATGTATGTAGTTTCCAGAGAGGACAATTAGACCGTATTTAGCATTTGAGAAAACGCGAGGAAAACGGAATAAAATCTGCCTCTATTCGTCGGCATGTTAAGTAAGTCCTTCATTCCTAGAAATATGCAAGAATTAATTTTTTTAAGCATAGTTTAGAACCATATTCTGCGTCCCTTACTTTGACCGATTCAACACAGCCTTAATTTTATTATACGCTACCAAGAGGATCGCGATAGCCGGTTTAGAAAGCACGGTTCCATTACACAGTATATCTCTGTTTCAATATATATGTATACTTCAATATTTGTTCAATGGATCGATTAAAAGGACATTACATACAGAAATATTGACACTTCTGCCTGCTATACAGTTATTGGAAGAATAATAATCGTATAACAATTCGTTCGTACACACGTGTCCGAAAATATGACAATGTGATGATCGCTTATGACGCTCTCTTATTATTCGACATATTATCAACTATTCAACAGATCATCGAGAGTATAATCGTTCCACTATATATCCCATCAAGTGAAATGAGAATCTATATAAATAGCTCTGTTTGCTTCATTTTTCAAGATATTAGTGATAAAATGGATTATACCTATAGTATTTATGATTGAAAAATCAGATATGGCAATACAGCATTCGTATTAATCTATGTGACACAGACGCCTCTAATGCAACGCTTGTTACTTTGACTTAATTACTCTATGGAATAAGTACAAATATTAGAGAAAACAGAGTAAATCTGGTATTCTATATAAAAGGCTTTAACGTGTAGAACCGCATAAGATAAAGCACGGGCGTTATGTGTAGCTGCTTGCGATACACATTCAAATTCAAAGCTAGTCTTTTGTTCTCGATCACAGCCACTGAACAGCAACAGAAACACTTACAGTATTTTCACATGCTTTTGCGTACTTTCCTATAACCATTTTGGGTTTTTTTTTTGCGGGCGCCTGGTGATGAGTGAATTTGTTCGATTTGGTGTCCATTAGTGCGAAAGCAATGCGGGGCTGATAACAGCCGCATTATCACACGTTGGACGAGTTGTTAGTAGAGAAATATCTGTGCGGAACGTTAAACTGTAATGCAAAATAGTGCCTACGCAACAAAATTCCTTTACATGGGAGACGTTCTGATATTTCGATATTCTATCCCTGTATATATGAGTTATATGAGAAACAGTATATTATTAACAAGAATAGAGTAAACAGTACTATGATAGCAGTGCCACTTAAGTAAATTAAAATGTATTATTATCCACAAAATTATAATTTATTAATGAACAATTTCACCATTCTTCTTAAGACTAGTTTAAACATTAGCTTAAAAGAGAAAACGGATATGTGACAGAAATGTGTTCATGCGCTTTAATCATTCTTCTAAGGTCAGGCGAACACAAGATTATGCGGTGTATGCGTAAAAAAACTGATAACGCTGACCTTTTCATCAAGAAACAAGAATCAACGAGCTCGTTCAGTCTTCTACAATATTTCCTATGGTCCTTCTGTGCCCGATAATTGCGCGCTGATGCTATTCTACAGCTGTGTACTGTTTGCCCTATTACAGACCGCGGGTGCGTTTCGCAAATCAAATTTTCGTCTCGTCGGTATATTTAGTATTTATCAGCGATTGCTATCTACATCTCTTCTAAAATCTATGTTGATACCTTAATCGCGCGTGACAGCGCGCGCTTCTTCATCTCGGATGATTCATTCGTGGTAAAATATCTTGTCAAATTTGTAGACGGTAAAGCTGCGCTTTACATATCATACTTTCTAATATCACCGTGGTAAGAAATTAACCTACAGTTAAAATAAGTTTCTATGTATGTACACGTACGTATGTACACAACATGAGCAACGCGCGTGTGTTGCGTTATGCAACGATTAGACAGATTGATTAGCGCGACTCATTTTGACGTCATCATCCGTACTTTAATACGTTCGTTGTACTGAATCAGATTAATTTCTTACCTGAAAGCTTAAATTCTAGTTGACGAGTAAAGTATTACCAAAACGTTACGAGGAACTCGGTAAAAAAAAAAATAGATGAGATTATTTTTTGCAACGACTGAATAAACCGATAAATAAAGCTGTCGAGTAGTTTCCAGCGCAAAACATTTAAAAATATATACAAAATGACGCCTATAATTGCATTTAGTCCAAACGGATATAAATATCTTCGATGGAACAATCTGATTTTTTATATATGTAATAGTTTCTTCCGTTTAAATTAATCTGAAGACGTGATGTATACTCCGTTACACGTTGAATTATTGTACTGTGCATTCCTACCCGCGATATTTAAAAAAAAAATATGTATTACATAAGTACCAGAAAGTACCTATATCACCGTAGCGGCACTTTTATCTTCTCTGTATTTCTTGCACGTTGCACTGATTATTTGCACAAGATTTATACTAATTGCACAACTCCGCATTGCTTTAGTCGGGCCTATAGATTGGAATCTTTGGAATAAATTCAATCAAGAGAACCTGCAATGCCAAAAAAAGGGAAACAATCAGTGTCGCAAAAATTATATATGTGTGTAGATTTTTCCAAAATTCTAATAATTTCGTAGTGCCTTACGTATTCCATCATGGAGGAGCTGTCGCATCTCTGCTTCGCCAATCTCCAGTGTAAACCAAGTTTGTGGTAGAGCCTACTATTCTCCCATTCTAACAATTTGTTTAACGAATGCTGAGTCTGGAAAGACAGATAATGCACGTTAATGCTTTGTACATATATTAAAATCTAATTAAAGCTAGCGAAATGTATAAATGAATAATTTGCGTTTCGCAGAGCATAAAATTTTCCATAAGCTGGATCTTCTTTCAGTTGTATACGCACCCTCTTGCTCAGGCAAATGACAGGCCACAGAGAGCATCCTAGGGTACAGCAACAGCATACACAACCGCAGAATAACCATTTAACGTTAACGGGCAAAGTCTTTTTCAATACACTGTTCACTCTCATTACAGTTGCCTTGAATTCTTCTGGAGCCACGCGGGACATGAGGCCGTTGGGAAACTCTGACTCAAAACGGTTACTCAGACCGAATCTGAAAGTAAAATCACACACACATTAGCGACATTATTTTTCCCACGTGTTTCAACAACTATGGAACTTGTCATTGAAAATCTTTTCAATAAAGTGGAGTGAAAATATTTGCTCGACCCCCAAGGTGAGCGACAATTTTCATTATACAAGAATCCACAGATGGAATATGCATTTCTTCGTCGAAGGGGGGAAAAAAGAAATCGTTGCCGCGCTGGTGTCGTCGAAACGACGAGAAAAACCCGGCCGAAATGTAAGTCGAGATCAGGTGGCTTTGTTTGCCTCTCTTCTTTGTGGAAGCGCGAGTTCTACCCCCCTCTCGCCTCACCCCGCTCCGCCAGACAACAAAGTGAACAAAGAAACTCGGGGAGCGACGCTTCCTTCCCGAAGGGGAGACTTACACCGTCATGTTGCCAGCCCCGCGGATCACGATCGGGTCCGGCACCATCGCGACGTAGCGCTCCTCCAGGTGCTGCTCGTGCTCCTCCTCCTCCTCGTAGATCGCGTCGAAGTCCGCCATCGCGCTCCCCCACGGACTCGCGCCGCCTCCCGCGGATGTGAGTTGCGCGTATAAACCGCGTTCGACCAACAACACGCGCGCGCGCTTTTTGTCTGCCCCCCCTGCGAAGTGGTCGGCCAGGTCGTCGCGGACGGCTGGTCGTCGACGACGACGACGACGACGACGACGGCGGCGACGACGGCGACGATGCCGCGCGGCGCTCTCGCGAGCGCGACCCTCTCGCTTCACATCCCCGTCGCGACGACGTCGGGCGTCCGGCACGTCGTCACGCACGCTCCGTCGCGATTAACGTGGGCGACGATCATCTCCGTCGGGAGCGAGCTAGGCCAGGCTGCTGGGGCGCACTCTCAACGATGACAACGACAGTCACGATATCGTCCACTACCGGTCCGCCGCCAGCATTCGCCTATTTTGTGTGTCTATGTGTGCGTGTAACGTCACTCCGCTACTCGCTACTCCAACCCGCAGCCGATCACCGATGCAGCACGACGCGCACTGCGGAAAGTGCGGAGAGTGCGGACGTGATCCGCTCGCTCGTCGATCTCTCCTCTCCTCCTCGTCCCTTGCTCCGAAACTCCGAACTCCGAATGCTCCGATCACCAGGTCTGCCAACAGATGCGAAGGAGTGATGGTGCGAAATTGGTGCGACAAATGTCGCGCGTGCGTAGCAGCGCAAGTGCTAGCAGACGCTATTGTCAGATATTTCGCGAGAAAAGGGGTGTAGGTCACCTTTTGTGAAATTTATTGTTTAGTTTTTATGGAGTTGATACACTTTCTTACATGTATATCACGTAATAATGTATGTAACGTGGTTTTATTAATTTATAATATTTAATATATGTTGCATATTATTAATACAAAAAGTTGGTTATTTATTGATAATTTATATAAGCCACGAGGCCCGCGAGAGGAATATTCTGCGCAACGTCTTAGAGTCTGCTAAAAGCGATCACGTATTCACTGACGTGTTACGCACGCGTACAAGAATCCGTTCGGAGAGATTTAATTCGCAACGTTGGCCGGTACTGCTCCGATTTCGTTTGAACGATATAAATGGAAAACAAAACGAGAACATTCTTTATGTATGAATTTTCCCATCCCCATCAGAGAAGGCTACAATATCACCCTTTATAAGCTACTACGCTCCGTTGTTCGTGAAACTTCGGAATCGGAACTGTGCCTATGAAGAAACTCCGACAGTGCAGCATCGCTCGTTAATTTAGATTCGCAATTTTTTACTTCGTCTTTTTAGTAAAAATAAACAATATTTTCTACTTTATATCATATAAATGGCATATTGACGTCAGTTTTACGAAATTCCGACTCCTTATTTTCAAGTTAACTTTCATCGCTCTTCAACTTTGACGTTCTTCATCTTTTTCTTTTACAGAGTGGCCTCTTTTGAGAACCCACTTTCTCCGATGGTACAGCCCATACTTTCTCCTTTCTATCCCCCTGCCTCCGTTGTTTCTATTTCAATAGACTTTCAAAAATTACCATATCCCGCGATTAATTAAATTTCGTGTCTTCAGTTTCAAACTAATGGCTTTTAGGAGGGTAAAGTTTTATAGTATCGTAAGTATAAAATCTAATATTAATTAGATCCGCGGGATAACTGAAGAACATTGACGTGACCGAGCATCGATAATCAAGCCTGTAGTGCAATAAATTAAAATGCATTGTGCGATGACAACAAGAGAGAAAAGTTGAAAAATTTGGAATCGTTTCATAATCGCCGAATATAATCGCTATTATATTTTAAAATAATTATTTGTGCCTTTCTAAACTGATTACAGAAGACACAGAGATCAATTATAAATTAATTTAATTAATATTAAATAACCATTAACTGTTCAATTAACTATTGCTTTGATTGACTATTATATATGCAATAATGGCTAATCTTCGAAGTTAAGCAAATGTTTTTAATAAGTAAAAACATATAAATAAATAATTTTGAAACTAAGAAGTTATGATATATTATTAAAATTAAGAAGTTATATTCAAATTGACTTTTTTCAGGATCGTACTCTTTTTTTCTAACTCTTAAAAAGGTAGATTAGATCACTGTTGTTTTCAAGACTTCACTATCGTAATGGTAACGTCACTGCACAAAAATAAACATGAATTCATCAGAATTAATGGCAAAATCGCACTGAACACACTCGGCAAGATAGAATTGGAGTTTCGAAAGGTACTACCACAGAGAGATGTTAGATCAATCAATTTTTAGTACTTTAGCGCAAGTATACTGATTATTGAAATGTTTCTCGCTGTAATTGTGTTTTAAGTAAAGTTACATTGCGCAACTTCTTCGAAATGCCGTCGGAAGTTCCGAGTCGGAACTCGGAACAAAGTTCCGCGGAAGTTACTCGAGTAAATTACTTCCCGCTCGTTTATAAATATAATGGAATCGTTATGCTAATAGGTGTACCAAACTGGAAAGTGATCCGCAAAAAGATTCATTTACATTTTTTACTCAGTTTTATTTAGGTCAACTTCGAACACCGCGAAGAAAGCGACAATAACTGACGTTTGGCGTTGCGCAATATACGTCGTTTACAGGCGGGGGGGAAAGAAGGATCAGTACAATTGATCGGTCGTGCACGCGAAATTGAACGGCGGCGAAGACGTACGTCCGGTCTGGAGAGCTCAGCTTCAGTAGGATAAAGGATCTCGGGGATGGACGATAAACGATGAATCATAGCATTACGCATCACGCACACGCGTTACGTCGCGCGGGTTGTCCGCGCGCGTGCAGCAAAAAATATACTCCCGAGTCATTACGCGGCTTTGAGCGCGTTTCAATCAGAGTGCAACGGCCGCTCGACTGGAAATCACGGAAATGTCAGCGCAATAGAATGATTGCCAATCAATTCGATGCAACGGTTGAGATTAATAGAAACGCCTTCTCTCTCCGGGCGACGCGCTAACTCGCCGGGCATTTCGCAATCAGGACGATGATTATCGTATATAATGACATATAATTTGTCACTGAATGAGCGCGGCAGAAGAAAGGTTTAACTAAACTCGCCTTTTATATAATGGATTTTAATAAATATATTCGACAAGGAAATGTTTCCCCAATTTCCTCGTAGCTCGTGTACAAATTTCATTTAAAACACCTCAAAAAATTTTATTGGAAATACAGTGTTTCAATAGTAATACCCAGTTGTGGTTCTATTCCTCTTATATTCTTGATTGTTGATTGATTCATTAATCGTCTGAGCCTCACAAATCTTAAAAAAATATTTCGAAAATATTAAATGCGCTAATATTATATTGTCATCGGAATGGAACTTTGATAACATCCAAAAATATTTAAATGATATTTTATCTATATCCGTAATGCGTCGCTGCTAAGTTCGGCAAAAAGAGACGTAAAAGCATTGCATACTTGCTGGGAATCGGTGAGAATAATCGATTATTTTTTTACGATCGACGATCGCAGAAATGAAACAGCGTTAGGGCTAACGCATATTTTCCACCTCGTGCAAACAGTTTCTCCGGTCTGTGTTATACTTGACTGATCACTAAATCATAAATAGCGGCGAGACGCGAAATTTTTCGTTAGTCCGCTATGGATTCGTGGAGTGCGAAGGCTTTCGTCGTTTTCCTTGTTTTGACATCGCGTAGAAATGTTCAACCGCAGCCTCAAAGCTTCAACAACAAAAGGATCGTTATTGATTTTAATAATGGTATCATCACGATCAATAATCAGCTCTCCGTGTCGAGCAGTGAGTATTATATACAAACACGTCCACGATAATTGAAGAATTTCGTAGTAAAAAATGATATTTTTATTCTCCTATTAGAATCACAGTAATATAATAATGCAATATAATAAGACAGAATTTCGAGAATTTGTACATTTATTTTAATCAGCGAATAATCTATTATGTAATTTTTTATAATGCTATTATATGTTACGTCTGAATTTCAAAGAACTAAATTTCTTATGCATTTTTATACTTATGCATCAGCATACATTTTTATTTTCATTTATATCTTCTTTTCGAAAAAGAGTCCACTGTTTTCTCTCTATGAATATCTTTTTATCGTCAAAAAGCCAAGCAAATGGAGAGGATAGCCGGTGGGAGTTACGCGAATGAAGGTCAATTTCCGTTCATGGCCGTGGTGCATCGATTGATCGATGGTAGAAGAGTTGCTCAGTGCGGCGGTACCATCATTTCGGAGAGATGGGTGCTGACCGCGGGTCACTGCATCGCCAAGTTCCCGCAAAGGTTCTTCGTGGTATTCGGAATCGTCGACAAGACCGGGATCGGTTACAACGTGAACCGGGGACCCGGAGTCTCGATGATGACAACGCGGGCTTACGTCCATCCCAGCTATTTCTTCAGCAAGAACGACATCGGATTGTTGCACATGCCGCAAGATATTCCCTTCTCAGGTGAGAAAAATTCGTCGTGACGAAGAACGCGTTAATCTTTGCGCTCCTTGATGAAGAACTCTGGAACACGTAAAAGGAATCTTATTTTAATAAATGTTAAATTAAATAATCTCAATCTTAAGATATTCACCTAACGCTTGTCGAAGAGCGTAAGATTATTTATTTATCACCGCGTCGCTGAAGATGGCTCAAAGTAGAGCCGAAACGTACGATTTATAACTTGTATTAAATGTTAATTAAATTAAATGTTAATTAAATGTTTTATGTATAACGTTAACTCACGCACAAACAACCGTGTTTGATTCTTAAAACCCACTTTTTCCTTGTTACTCTTAAATAACAATCATGAACTTTTAATTTTTTGTCTTTTGACAATATTTTAATTTTAGAAAAAATTCAACCGATATATCTGGCCGGCCCGAAGGAGGGTAAAGTCATGGCCGACACGATGGCCTACGTGGTTGGATGGGGCCGCGATGGTTTCAGTCCCAGAGGCACCAAAAGACTCAAGTACGCCCTAATGCCGTTAATTTCGAAACGCAAGTGTGTCTCATACTGGAGAGTGGACTACAGAAATATATGCACGGAACCGGGACACGGGAAAAACGCGTGCCAGGTAAAGTTCCGAATTTAATTTTACGTTAAAAAAAAAGAAGATTTGGATTTATATTTATTCAAATCTGCGCACGTTAGAGTTCTTCGTAGTTCTTCAGCGCAAACGAATAAGATTTAGAATATTCTTAATGCGCAACGTTACTTGTTGTAATGTGGTGTGCTTTAGGGCGACAGTGGGGGTCCTCTTTTTGTAATGAGGGACGATCGACCGCTGCAAATCGGTATCGTTAGCTACGGAGACGCAAACTGTCCGAGCGGCAGACCCGGAGTGTACACCAGAGTGGCGGCGTTTGCAGAATGGATCCAACGTGTCACCGGAATGGAATTCGAATAAATATAATGTTGCGAAGATATCTCGTGTCTTTTTCTAATTGCGGTACCTCTCGATAATCACGAGTACACGTGTCATCCTGTCATTTCCCCAAAATTGCAGTTATTCCTTTAATTCCCTCATCTCTGTTACTTCTCTTTATTACTCCTTTCTGTAAATGGCATGTTATTCCCTGAGCGAGAACATAACTTCCCTCCTAATTGCATCACCGCAAAAATGTACGTGTTCTATTAACTCGTAATTAAGACGGAAGATATAATTACAGACAATTTTCTCTTCCTCATCTTCGATTTTGTTGTCTTCATTTTCGTCGAATTATTATCCGTCGAGCAACCAACTTTCTTTCCGGGTTACGATAAGGTAGATAACACTCGCGATATTATCCATATTATCAACAGTGGCAACAACAGTTGACGCTGTCATTAATAATATAATAATGTAGAGCAAATTAAAATTAAAATTCTACAATTATTATTCAAAATTTTGTTAATGCCCTCTTTTACGTAAAGGAGTTACATTAAGAATCATCTTATCGATTGTTAATTTTACGTAGTTAATTCGCTTCTTGGATTCTGCGCACGATGGCGACATTGTCTCAATAATTAATTTGCACTTGACGATGACAATACCATGCAAAAATCAGCACTGCTTTATAATAAATATAAAATATTATATTCGTATCGTAATTACTTAAATATATTTAATTACATTAATTACATTAAAAATATTTAAGTAATTACAATATTTACGATAAATATATTATATATTACATTACGGTATTACGATAAATATATTTAATTAGATTAAATATATTTGTATTATTGGTTTCTAGTAAGCATCACGTCTATTTATTAATTCTGCATCTTATAATTTTATCGATTCAAAGGAGTATGAATTCTGAGTGTTAAAAGATTTGACAAGCAATTTACTTCTTTATATAAACAATTTGGGAGGAGGGAGGAAATTATTTTCTTCCTTCATTTTTACTCTGTCAATTAGAACAAGCCTACTGATGTTTGTGCACTGTGCACTATTATTCTTATACAAGCTGACAATACGTAAAATGTGAAAATCATACAGTAACGAAGCAACGGTAAATCACTCTTCTGCGCGATGCGCGTTATTCGACAGCGTGTGCGAGCAAAATGCATATCGAACTTCGAGCGTAACTCGTGGCTCCTCGGACGTGTACATAGTAATCACGGACGCTTCTCGGCACAGTTAAAATGTGATTAAAGCGGTCACGGATGAGAGCCGGCGCGATTACCTGCCCGATAAAAGTCCCGGCGAAACAGAGGCGAGGAAAGGTGATGAGATGCGATTTATAATTGTCCGGCAGAAATGCAGAGCTCCGTTGTCCTGTTTCGACGGCTATTACCGCAAAATCGTAGCGGAGATTCCTTCCTGAGTTTAACCGCCTGCCTCGGCGACGATCCAGCGAGATTGCTCTGCCTCTCGGCGTGAACTTCGCGACACGCGAAAAGACATTGAAGAAACTACGAAATTCTGAATTATTAATTGTACAACTGATATGATCGAATAAACAAATAAAATCCGAGATTTTTTTTCTTCCACGCAACCGTTATGAACTTTACTATACGAACTTTCGCAGCAATAATTGAGATCTCAAAAGGCAGACAAGAATCGAATAAATGAAGTAAAAATGAAAAAACTCCCTAAAAAGTAACTTCCTAATTTTTTAAATTAAATTAGCGCATTCTTTTAGATATCAAGAGATTGTTAGTTCATGGAACGCCTCAACTTGCTTCTATTCATCACGGTGATTTCAAAACGGCATTACGTGCTGCATGAGTCGCATATTCTTCGACCGCGGACCATTTTGTATTACCACTCATTAGCAATTTGGGGAAATCGTAATTAGAACTTTATCCCGCGTTCCTCTGTCTCGGATTCCTTTAAATAACTCGGCGTGTATAATTTGCGATAATGCCGGGCGAGATCGCAATTCAGAGGGGTGAATCCTCTTTTTCGATACAAAGGGTTTCGTTAACTTCGTGCTTGCAAAGAAGAAGTGTTTCAGTCGAACACTAGGTTAAGTCCGATGATAATACGTGCGCTTTTGTGTACCGGCCGGCGTACCATATTTATACATTTTTACACGCCAATTTTACGGTCTGCTGAAGCGGCTGTGTATGATGCAGCCATGGCACTCCGACCATTCTTCAGCTTCTCTTTCACGAATTCGTACGAAAACTGGAGAGCCGTGAGAATTTGTTAAATTATTTTGCGCTCTATTTCATTAATATGTTATCATTAATGGTAATTGGCAGTTAAATGGAATCTGATGGGACCGATCGATATGCTCTTTCCTCACTACGTCATTAATAAGACTTACGGATCGCGTTGTTACATCACCTATGAATTATACCTGCTTGAAAATGTAGGCAAATCAATCTATGCATTACGCGCGTTAAAAAATACGCGACGGTGTCGGTTAATAATATATCTAGGCGTGTGTGTGTGTGTGTTATATATAAACACGTTTCCGCGGCGAAAGTAGCCGGTCACGATTTAACATCGCTCATTAACCCCGCTAATAGTCTGCATCATCAGGAAATCGGTTTCGTCTTAATCTTAACACCGTCTCTTCCGCGATACGCTTTTGTATCCTAGAATCAAATTATGTTTTCTCGGAAGTAATTGAATTTGTGTTTAAATAGCATTATAATTATTCGTCTTATGTTTATGATATATGCAGTATCTCTAGAACCGAGCTTTCTTTGTTTCAACAAGTATTATTAGTTTCTATGTTTACATTTTTCGTAAATAATTTGGTTTTAATTTCTAAAAATTAAACTTGATGTAAAAGAAGCTATATAAAAATGTCCTTAAAATAATATCCATAGTATATTGGAAAAAGAAATGGTAAACTCGCTCAGCAGTAAAGAAACCATTTATGAAATTAACATTATTTGTTCGCGTTTCTTAAATCACGGTCGGTCTCGCTCCGCGTGTACTTGGCGCGAGACACTACCGTCTCTTGATATTATCTCGACAGTAGATTAAGATTTTTAATCGAACATATGTCAAATCTCGAAAGTTCAAAAAATGGGATAACGTTTTGAAAGGTCATAATTCTAAAATTAAATAAAAGGATACCGAGATCCTCTGTTCTCAAGTAATAGACAAAGTGTCGAAAAGTTTCCATAATTCGTTATCAGATAGACGAATTTGTGCTTTCGGTAATCTTAAATAGGGCGACATTTTATTTTTGGCATTTAGAGCGGTCTCTTCAAACATCGATGTCGTGCTCGACGGCTGATCCAAACTTGTCGTGGATAAACACGAGAACATTTTATACGACGTCTTCCTTTTCCTCCGCGTCGTAGAGGGGGTTAAAAAGACGGCGATTAGTCAAGCGAAATCGTCCATCGCGTCTGAACATACGAGGAACATATGCGACTTGAGTTACGCGGCACCTCTCGAAATAGAGAGAGAGGAAGAGGGGAAAAGAGAGAAAGAAAGAGAGAGAGAGAGAGAGTGAGTGAGAAGGTAGCCGGGCGCACCGAGTGGAAGTCGACGAGACCGAAAGTACCGACTCGACATTTTTTTCGGCTAACCGCCTACTTAATTAAAACAACATTAAGCCGGCCGGCTTGCGCCGTGAACGACGCTGCCCATGGACCGTGCAACAGACATCAGACGAAACGAGAAAGAGTTGCCGCGGAACGCGAACGAGCGAGTGGGAGGGAGGCTTTTAAATCTCGAGTTGCGACTGCAGCTGCCGATGCGCCATCGCCGTCACATCGCGGCTCGTAAATCCCGCGCCGCTTATTAAATTAGCTATGTCCAATCGATTCGCGGATTTTGTGTGGAATCGCAAATCCCGGGGATCGCGGGGACGAACGGCAAGATAACTCTCCTCGACGCGTTTCTCCTAATGAGGATGTCACAGGGCGAGAAGCTCGTTTTAGTCGTCGTCGTTACGATATCATCAAATTTATATGCCGCGTGTCGCAAGCTGGGTGGTTCGCTAATTTACGCGCACCTGTCGACGGATTTTGAGCAACCGTGTCACATTCGTTATTGGAATTTGGCAACGTTTCGCCATGTATCAGGACGCCTCTGCTCGTTTGACGATGAGCTTTAGTCGCCGGCTATTAACAAGCGCTGCTTGCCCAATATACTTTCGGAGATGTGCGATAGGTCGAGGAATGCGCACCGTAAAAATGACGGAAAAGCAAGTTTTAATCATGTGTGAACATATGCGAGTCTCGAGAATCATGCTGCGGCTCTGCGTGCAGTTTATTTATCATCTGGCATAGGATCAAAGATTTCCCGCGTTGTGTTAAATCAAATAATTATTATAGACACAGGTAGAGAAAGGTTTTACAAAGCGTTGCGGAAGTTTCTGTGACGGGAATTTAAAGTAAAATTGTTCGCGCGATTAATCTTTGGAGATAACATATTCATATTTAGAAGCAAATACGGCCGTCCAAGATTCATCTCAGATTTTTCTGTTTCAAAGAGAAACGCACACACGTGATGTTAACGAAGCGTCGAGCGGCCACATTTCGAGTTAATAATGGAAAAATGTATTTAGATGAATATACGCACGTTTCGCATAAACACCTATTTAAGAGCAGTGTTCGCGGATTCCTTTGTTCTCTCGCGGCCCGAGCAGCTGAGCATTCAAATCCGCGTCCAATTTACGCGCTCAGCTCCTCCGGCAGCGCTCGATTTCCCCATTCAGGTGGCACACGTGGATGCGTTATTTCCGCGAAGTCAAGCCGGCCGCGCGCTGCGCCGCGCCGCGCCGTTCCGTTTACCATACGCACCATACGAGTGGCAACTGGTAATGGACTAACAACTCTCGGCTCGCTAGAAATAGCGCGCGCGCACACACGGGCTAGCCAATTAAATGCAATAGCGAGTAGAGGCCCTCTTCACGGCCGTGACACTTAGCGGCCTTAAGTAGCGAGATTTAGAGGCGGCAGGTGCGCTCTTTCTCTCTCCGATTCCGGAGAGTGGGCTACCCTTCG